CCAAGAGCTGATTTTTGATTTTTTTTTCTTGTAAGCATGGACAGCTACGAAAGCATGCTACTACCATATGGCACCACCTTGGTCTGTGATCATGTCTGCTCCACCACACTACAGCAAGCGAAATAGCTGCAACAGACAGCTGATATCGGACAGAAGACCTTGTTCTCTCCGCTGATAGGGCCACCAATCGTATAAAAGTCCAGGAGTCTGATGGTGTTCGCCATTGCAGCAGTGTGGCTTACTGTAACCGCCATCTTGTTCTTCTGCTCTTTGAAGCATTGCAATCTTAACTTGAAAAATAAGTCCTATCTGACAGGGTACGTCGCAAATTGCTGATCTCTAAGGGGGGGGGGGGTTCTACCTAGACCCAGGAGGAAGGGGAGTCGTGTCATTCTTGTGATTGTTTTCAATTTTTTTTGATTAAATTACCTTTTGATTGTTGATTTTGTTCCTCGTGCGTTATATATTTCTCCTTGTCGAGACCGCCGCAAAATTTTTCTGATAGTTCAACACATCACCCTCACGTTTTGCACGGAAGATTTTCGAGAAAGTTTGGAAAGATGGTTGGACGGTTAAGGAAAAATCGTAACGGCAGAGAGAAAAAAAATCATGGGGAGGGCGTATTCAGCAATAACTCTCCCCGACGCCAGTGCGTAATTGTACTTGAACTATAATGCCCTGTAAAGCTGTGAAGCGGTGCAAGTCGGCCACATTTATTACCGAAATTTACAAGTTTCCACAAGATGGTTTGCACAAACCACGCTGACTACCATTTGCACCCCCCTCCCCTCCCCTCACCCCAAGCCGAACTGCACATAATCATCAAAGCTGCAGAGATCGATGTCTAGTTGTCGCAGAAAGGTTTTCTTTTTGGTTTTTTTTTGTTGTTTTCATTTTCCTTATCGCAGAGTTATGAGGCCTTTTGAACTTACGAAATGGTAGGAGCTTCTTCATGTGTGGCTATACTATAAGCTTTACAAGAGCCAATAGAACTTCACAAGGTAGCCTGTACAAGGTTGGCCGAGGCCAAGTGTTATTTCGTAGCTCCACAAGACTTTACAAGTCTCCACGTCGTACCCGCAACTAGGAAAGTGCCCCTCCAAGGCGAACTGCTCGAGATAGTTTTTGATCCCGAAGGCATATCTTCGCGGCACCGATCATTCTGCCGGCAGTATGTCAAATATTGCTAGGTACCCGCCTAAACTCGAAAGAATGTCTAAGAAAGTAAACCTGCTCTGTCGAAAAAGCCCCACTGTTAGCTGCTATGATATGCTTAGGGTATGCTACTGGTCCACCAGTCCGATCGTGGTATATATGGGGTGCTCTTTGATTCGTCCGCTCTGGCAAAAAGACCCTCCTTGGAGCTCTTCCAATGACTCTTCCGAAAAAGACAAAGAAAAGCCTTTGTGCGACCTCGAAATATTCTGCATTTTGAAAGCGGTCTACTTCGAACAACGGCCTGAAGTTCTTCGGACACAGCGATATTACAACCACGTGCTTGACCGGAGAACACTCGCATGCATTGTGCGCAATAACTGCACCTGTGACCGAGGGCAAAGTACGCCAACAGACGTGCCGAACGGACCGAAACTGCTAATTAAAGAGACTAGTCATTCCGGAGTCACTGCTATATATTCACTTTTTCTACCACTTTGCATGCAATCAACAGGTTTCCCGAGAACAAATCACAGTTCTCTCTCATCTCACAGGAATGGCATTCTATTCCCAGTCGCAAAATTATTGTTCAACTGTAGTACATGCCCTGCTAGGGACGGAGAAGCTCTGAGCTGGCAGAATCGATGCCTTTGTGCGAAAGAGGTTCTCGCATCGAAAAAAACACCCACTTCTTCTCTCCTTTTCCACACAAATTTTTAGCTTCCTTTTTTACTACTTTTTTTTTACTTACTTTTTTATTTTACTTTTTTTATTCTGTAACACTGTGACGGCGAGGTATGCAGTGGCAAAGGCCTTACCTCGCGTCGCTTTCCGAGTAAAATCCCGAATCGTGGTTCCCGCCCGGGTCAACCAAACCTTCTACCCTCCTGGGACGGTACACTCGTGCCAGCTTTTTCAGATTTGTCTGGGAATATATTAACACCATTGCGATGAGTGAGAGGTTGGGCTCTTAGGGAGCTGGAGCCCAAGTTCTCGATTGATTAAACTCGGAAAGCTGGTCCAACTCACTTCATACTTTCGAATTGTACAGTTGCCTCTGTTCCTTCTTCTCATTATACCTTAATAAGAAATAATGTCATAGTTCTATCCTCCACCGGATGAATTTTTGAGAGATAGGGTAGCCATGAATTACATTGATTGCATAATTTGACCTCGAGAGAAATTGCAATGGGGAGGTGGAGTCGTTATGAGAGTTGTTTCCCTCATTGAACATGCCACCGTCCATTACTGCACTTCCACACCTTAAACTGGTCTATTATTGTCTTGCGACTTAAACATGAACTTGCGCACGTCACATTACCATTAGTAGGCGTAACTGATGGTGCGATCACGCCATGTAGTCTAGCGATCGGCACCTTGGAGTAGGTGGCGCTAAAGATCTCTGTGCACATTGCTGTTCTCTTTACCGATCAGCATAGTCCGCATTTTTGCAAGAAAAGCTTTTCATAGAAATGCGTAGTCTAAAGATAAGCCTATACACATGCCCACTGCCATTTGACCGAAAGTGATCTGGGTTTCCCGCCTGTGTTTCGCCATTCCATACAACTGACCATTATGGAAGGAATTTGATTACTTTGAGCTCTGTCCTTCAATTAGACTGTCTCGTTGAATTCTTGAATTTTATCGATTTTTCGGCCATCCTCTTTCATATTTTGTAGGATGCGGTTGCTCATCTCCATTTTTTAGATGTCTTTAAATCTCTTTATCATTAATCTATATTCACGTTCTAGGTGAATTTTCACGTTCATAGTCTTGGGTAAAAATGACGATCCCGACAAGGACAAACTTAGCAAAGAACCCAATTGCTGAGAAGATAATTGCTGAACAATTCCTCGCCGCTGACCTGTCTGAGGTTGACAAACTACGAGAAGAAGCAAAAAAGGTAAACTTATGCTTCACATCAGTAGGACTACACTTTTGCTGATTCAGTCAACAAATTTCATTACAGTACAACTACAAAAGGCAGGTGGTGTACCGAAATGTTGCTCTCTTCGCTCTTCTTCATGTCGGAAGTCTCATCGGTCTCTACCAGGTTGTGTTCGATGCAAAATGGCAGACCATCGGATGGAGTGAGTATCTCTTCGTTGAATCTTATTAAATGTTTACTGTTTCGCCCTGTTTAGTTGCTTCATCAGGCAACCTTATGAGAGCTCTCTGGGTACGGGGGGGGCATTTGCCTTTTCATACATGTATTTTTTGTAAATATATGATGTGCCCGCTGAAATAGTTCGAATCCAACAGTGGCGAGTGCTCACGCAACGAAAGTCTGAATAGAAAATAAAATACTCTAATAGTGACTCGAACAAAGAAAGATAGGGAAAAGGAGCAGAGTAGCTGACCAAGCAAAGTAACAGCACATCCGAGTGAGTGAAAAAGGAAATCGAAGATAAACGGGGGGGTCTCTATCGTATATATCCCTGGCTGCTATGGATTTTCTTCTGGTTTCGAACTTTCGTGGCGTGTGCACGAAATCGATGAACGTTCTACTCTCCTTTCATCTTTACGGGAAAAGGGTGTGAGTCGTAGAGCCCCCTCATCTAGAACTTATCTTGCACCTGATGAAGGGTAAGTGAACATCCTGGGCATTTCTACCCAACGTTGCTCTCAATCCTTATACGTTCCGAATCCGTGGAACAAACGTGACTAAGGTCCCAGGTGCTTGAGCTTGACCTGTACGGTTTGGCTAATCCCGAACCATAGCGAGATTGTACGAGTTGCATAACGGTCGAGGTTTTCCATAACCGAAGCGACCTGTTTTCAAGAATCTGCACACAGGTCCCTAAAGCTTCAGGCTGACGCAAACATTCTAGGCCTTCTTCACCCCGTCTACAATAATGGATATTTTCATCCGGTTGGAATATCTTGAGAAAATTCCTTTTTGAGCCTTCTAATGTACCATGCCATCTTGTGTGGCTGTGAGAGTTTGCGCAAATTACAAACTTTTTCCCCAACTGGAGATAGTTGCCATTGTAATTCATAACTGGTTTCAGTCAGAGAATCATTCATTCGTTCACGTTGGTATCAGGTGAGCAAGATGTTTGTAACGGGGCCCAGAACTACAAAGCGCTCCCTTATCACTTTTCTATGGGCATACTAGTAGCATGACTGGCAGTCACCTGACGTCAGCGAACTTATCAGCAGTAACATTGACAAAAATAGATGATCTGTTCGAGTCCTTCCTGAAAACAACCAAGCATTAACGATTGAGCAACCTCGGTTTCTAAAGGAAAGTCGCTGCCATGGGTGATAGGATCGGTTGCAAGTAGACTCCATATCCCAGAAACAGGGAGTATGTGACTGTGTAGTTCATTCGAACACGGAATAGGACGCGTTTTACGTGTGATATTTCCATTCCAACCAGCTATCACCCTATCTTTTCCTGGACAAGGCGTACTTGCAGTTGTTCTAAAATAAGAATATCTCACCACAAGCGCCGTCAGGTTCAAATGAAGTACACAGCCGTGCCTTTCCCATATCCGGGATATGGCTATACCTCGGGGAAGCATGTGCGGAACAGATCTTGACCGCATGTAGCTCCGAGACAGTGCAGACAACTGCTTACTTCCACTCGATACAAGGGAATGGAAGGAAATAGGTCGCAAGCCAAGTGACTCCTGAGTGCCCGATTTGCGACGGCCTTCATGTCAAGTCTCCATATGAAAGGGCGCAATTGGGAATGCGGTTACAGCGAGGTGCAGAAAGTGTGTACCACCGTAGAGTAGAGCATTTCCTAGCTAGCTGCCTCGACATACAACAGAACTTCCACCCTGAGTCAGTTATTGGGTGTTGCACATCTTCCTACTGGTCTTGGTGCGAATGGCGCTCACGTGGCACTGCCTGAAAAACCACTCCCTCCGCGAGGCCTCAGTATCCACATACTGCACTCATTCAAAGAAGAAGCTTACGCGACATTTTTACGTTTGCCTTGAGATGAAAAATTGAGAAATAATTCTCTATAAAACTATAGTTTTAGTAAAGTCGGCTAATAAATGAAGCTAATCAATAGACTACCGCAATGAAAATGATGTGTTTCCGGGCGATAGTACTGATTAAAGTATATTTCTCTCAAGGGACCGTATTTTTTAGTGCTGTTCCTACATATCTTCGGAGGACTTGGAATTACTGCTGGTGCCCATCGTCTCTGGTCTCACCGCTCGTACAAAGCCGCTCTACCCTTGCGAGTTCTGCTGATGATCATGAACAGTTCAGCTCTTCAGGTTATTACTTCTAGTTTTTTTCTTCCTGCAAAAGTCAGCGAAATATCTATTGTTTGTTGAAATGGGGGGAGCCGATCTTCTATATGTGCCCACCGCTGATGGCATCACTATCACGCGATGACAGCGTGGCTATGGCATGATTTTGCGCAAAAGGTTACGAGCATGACCGAACAGGGTTCGTATATCAAAGATAAGGGACCGAAAAGTCAGCGAAATTGGAACGGATATTCGACAGTCATTAAAAATAGACTGAAATGATTGCACCCAATGGGGTACCTTTACTGCGAATCGAGTATCTATTTCTTTAGAATGACATCATCGAATGGTCTCGTGATCACCGTTGTCACCACAAATGGACCGACACTCATGCAGATCCTCACAATACCAACCGCGGTTTCTTCTTTTCGCATATGGGATGGCTTCTCGTCAGGAAACATCCACAGGTGCTTGACTACCCATTATTTTTGTGCTGGGAAGTGTAATCCAACTAAGCTCCATTCATTACCGAGCTATCACACATCCAAATGCGTTTCAGATCATAGAACAAGGAAAGAAGCTCGACCTATCAGACCTCTACGCCGATCCTGTATGCACCTTCCAGAGAAGGTATGTTAATACGAGCAAAAAAATGTATCAAAACTTGTTTCTCTGCAGCTCATAGGCACACTCCGCGCTGGTGGTTTTGCCTAATTCAGGCCTACCTTTGAGTCTTACTCATTCTTTCCCATCTCCTTCCTTGGTGTGGGGAGGGGGGAGTTCGAGAGGAGGAGTATGCCCATAAGAAAGGCGTATTGGTAGGCTCGGTTACGCTCATATGATTAGGTCTTTCAACGGCGAAGACTGTCTCATTCAGATTAGTAATCCTAGGCCTCCATATAAGCCTTGGCGCTCATATTCTAACTTATAGGCTTCGGATGTGCCGTGCCTTGACTACTGGGGGTAAAGGCAATCGAATGCGGTTTTCTCAGAGAAACATAAGGTCCAGATAAAATCTGACTCAGTTTTTTTGACCTCGGAACGAGGTTGTTAGGTGGTCACCAGAGGCCTTAGATTCCATCGCTAAAGCATTCAAATCACTAGGTTCAGCAACAGTGCACTAAAATTACGAGAGCTGGGAACTGCTGTTTAGAAAAGACGATGTGGATTGAAGGCTGGCTTTCCAGTGACACCTTACCGACAAAATGCGGTAACATCGTATTAGCTTATATCGTCAAATTTTCTCCTTGGGCGCAAGAACAGATCTGCAAAGGTGTTTTTCACAACGAGGATGTGATCCGGAGGAATACGTTCAACATTCAGTGAACTCCTATAGAGAGCCTTGTTTGAGCACTGTTGTGTACGAGCTTCATCCATTAACCACAAGTAGGGCTACAGGAGATCAATCCTATCGCCCCTCAACGGGGAGTGAGGGCTCAATCCCTCGTTCAATTTTCAGGTTACTAAGGACTGAAGTCTGAAATTTGCCCTTCCAATCTTATTCATTCAATATGATCCGCCCTTTTTCAGGTACTACCTACCGCTGGTGTTGATTTTCTGCTTCCTGTTGCCGACAGCGATTCCTGTCAAGTTCTGGGGAGAATCGGCGTTTGTTGCGTTTTACACTGCTGGACTTCTGCGATACACCCTCCTGCTTCACGCTACATGGCTGATCAACAGCGCAGCCCATAAGTGAGCTGAATACCGTAGGACTGATTAGAAACCAAGAGCTTGCTCAAATACGGTTGGCAAATTCAGATTCGGTTTCAAGCCTTATGACACGAGGATCTCACCCGTAGAGTCGGTCTGGACTACTGTCTCAGCAATCGGAGAAGGCGGCCACAATTTCCACCACGTTTTTCCGCAGGTTTGTCGAGTTGCTGCCAATCTTATCATATCCATACATAAGAGTTGAAAGATTTCGGAACAATTAAACCTTCACGCCAGTAAAACTTACACGTCCGGTTTATGAGAACAATGGGTGGCGTTCACGGTGGCTACATGGGCCGAAGCCTACAGTCACACTTTCTTGGCTGGCGCGTCCCTTTTACCCAAACGGCTCGGGGAGGAGCGCTTTAATCATCGAGGCTGGCAGTGCCTGTCCTGACTTATTGCATGCGACTAAAATGAACCGCCTTGAGCCAAGCGACAACCCAATAATAAGACTATAAGTTGAAATCCAGTGGAAATTATAGTGTGCTGGAACGTAAGCAACATTCATAGAGCAGATATGCTATCGCTCATAATAACTTGTCCGCATCTTTAATTGCACACGTTCAGGACTACCGTACTTCGGAATACTCTCTGAAATTGAACTGGACTAGAATCTTCATCGACACCTTCGCAGCTCTCGGTCTAGTGTACGATAGGAAATCGTTCTCCGAAGAAGTTATTCAACGACAGTGCGAAAAATATGGCAATCCCGAGCAGCGTGGAAAAGCATTTTTATGAATGTCGCAAAATTATTTGGGTGGATTCCCTCTCGGGTTTGACGGTTCATTGTATAGTATTGTTTTTATTGTTTTATAGCAGTAGTCTGATATCAATAAATTTCGCCTTTGCACTATTTGCACGAAATCTGGTTAGGACTGAAGTGACTACTCATATCTTGTAGGTATATAGTCCTGTTCGCTCGGACGTGTCACAAGGATTGCGTTTGGCAAATTTTTTTTCGGCATTTTTTTCGTTCTCTACCAATCAAGGAACTTGGCAGGAGACCACAACTGGTGGAAAACGTGCTGAACGCGCCCCAGCATCCGCAGCAAACAACACTTCACCTTACATAGGCAGGAGACCACAACTGGTGGAAAACGTGCTGAACGCGCCCCAGCATCCGCAGCAAACAACACTTCACCTTACATACTTTGCTTCCGTTACCTTACTTACGTTGCCCAAGTTTAAAGGCACTTTCCGCGACAAAATAAGGCTGAAGTCTTTCGAAAGCGTTAGATGATCCGGTGGCAATTCTGTAGGCTGTGCTAGGGAATGTCAATTTAGATAGGTTGATCTCACTCAGCACCTTTCCATCCCCGCTTGTGGGAAAACCGTGTGAGATCGCCTGGGGTGTCTGGGCATTAGCCGAGTGTTAGGAGTGTATACTCACAGTCACCACCTAAGCACGATTCAATCCCTCTGCCGAGCACAAAAGGGAAGAAACTTTGAGGACCCAATAATCGAAGAATACGCCCGCAAAGGACAGCTCACAGATAGAGGCGAACGGCAGTCCCACCACGCCAGATAAGTTCGCCCCGCGAGCCGGCAGAAATGGAACGTTGCGAAAGAAACGTGGCCAAGACGCGGGTACCAATAGAGCATGGAATGCCTGGTAGAAGCTTGCGCGTCGCAATCTTGCTAACCAGCACTTCTAAATCAATGTGTAACGCTGAGAAGGAGGCCCAGGTGCGTGAAAGACATCATCAATCGTCCCCCCATCAAGGACAGCAACAATAACGGCGCGTCAAGTTGACTCCCCATACCATGAAGCTATACGAGCGCCTGTTCAGCACTAGGCTGAGGGAACTTGTCCCTATCTCGCAGGAACAGTTCGGCTTCATGCCCGAGAGGCCCACTCACAGATGCCATCTTCATCGCCAGACAGCTGATGGAGAAGTACCGAGAGAAGCGGCGACCCTGCTACCTAGCCTTCCTGGACCTTGAGAAGGCATTCGACCGCCTGCCTCGACCTGTACTCCTGGAAGCGGCTCAAGAGAACTGAAGTTCCGCGAGCAGCCTTCTCAGATAGTGAAGGATATGTATGATGGGGCTAAAGCAGCTGTACGCACCCCGCACGGCTTGACGAAGGAGGTAAACATCACGGGTGGGGTACACCAAGGATCAGCGCCCTCAGCCCGTTCCTCTTCCTACTGACTCTAGATGTCATGGCAAAAGAACTCATGCAGGGACCACTGAAGACCATCCTCTACGCCGACGACATCGCCCTGATAGATCGGACAGCAAGGGAGTGAACTCCAGGGACAATGGTGCAGCGGGTGGCAGGATGTAACTCGCTAAAAATGGACTCCGGCTGAACGTAAACAAAACCAAGTTCCTCAGCTCCGAAGAGTGTACCGAACCCATCGTAGATCGTCACGCGCGAAACATCAAAAACGTAAGCAAGTTGTGTAAAGGACTTCCAGTACCTGGGGAGCGACCTAGCAGCTGATGGCAGCGTGGACCAGGCGGTGAAGACCCGAATCAACGCAGCCTGGATGAAATGGAGGGAGTCCACTGGCATCCTGTGCGACCGTATGTGCTACGAGACGCCCAAACAAGGTGCACCGGGCCGTCGAAGATCCTACAATGCTCTACGGCAGTGAAGTGCTGGCCGGCATCCTCAGGAAATCAATGAAAGCCACTCCATCTCGCTGAAATAGAATCGCAGATGGCCTGCGGCGACACGAACTCGAACAGAGTCAGAACGAGTGTAGAACGTCCAGGCGGTCACATAGACCGCTCCGTATCCAGCTAAGGCACAGAAGCAACGACTGCTGATATTATGGACACGCTTAGAATGTCTGAGGAGCTGAAGATCACCCAATAAGGAAGGCATTGGAATTCGAAGCAGAGGGCAAGCGACCACGAGAAGCCTCAAAGAAAAGATGGAGGGACGTCATCAAGAAGGACCTCACTGAAGTGAAAGCTACGGCAGAAGATGCTGTGGATCGGAACAAGTGGCGACGTCTTTACACGAACATGCGAGCCTGCGACGGCGCGGGACTAACGCTAGGGAGAAGAAGAAGATCGCCTGTGGGGTGACCTCACTTAATTAGCTATTATCCATAACCACTCAGAGGAATTTATTGATAATTTTCCCAAAAAAGTCTATAATAAGATTTTTGATCTCAACAAAACTCATACTACGGAATACAGAAGTAACCATCTAGATATAACTGTTTCTGTAAATAATAATACTATTTATAGATGAACTCTACACAAAAACGGATGACCTCAACCTCCAAAGTCAATAAGGTCGCCAATAGTGACTCTTAATATATCAATAAAAATATAAGTACTGCAATGTACACGACGAAACATTAAGCATAGCATATACTTGCTCCACTCTGGAGGCATTTGTCTCTAGATTAAAGAATATGACACAGATCTTAAGAGGGAATGGATATGAAGATGGCTTCAGTGTAGACAACGCCATTAGGTGCCGATGTAAAGATTGAACTTCATTTGTTACAGAATACTATCCAAAAAAGAGCCTCAAAAGGTATCGCGCACTATACGTGAGAGCCATTGTTATATTATAATAACACATAGTGTAGTAAATAATAGATACTGTCCAATGAATTATTTCTCTTTATCACAGTGCAGCAAAGATATCGGTTTCGTATACACAGCCTTTTATTTAATGTGCTACAATTTCTCTGCGTATCTACATAACTGAGTATCGCCTTTCACTTGGATTTTCCTAAAAATGGTTTTGTACAAACCCATTTTATGACTCTAACATACACTTGAAATTACTATTGATCAATTCCTTGGAGACCCTGACAGCTATTATTTCATTCACTCACCACAGTGAGTTGCATTCCCCTCTTCCATAAAGCTTCCGTTCCGCCACTGAGAGCTCCCTTGATGGAATAAGTGGGTTCGTCTGACCATGATAGAGGCGAGAAGAGCCACTTCTATTCACTCTTTAAACTTAAAATCCATGACTCATTTCCCATCGCCTTTCCAACACATTTTACATCTGACTGTTGCAAGATGGATGCAACACTTAATCATAGAGGGTACTCCGAGCTAGTGTTTGCATCAGTTCCGTCTAACGGGGTATACCATTGAACACACTTCCAATAGAGGCAATAGCCTCAGGTCACAAGTGGTGATTTTTTGCAACCAGTCGTGCATAGAGTACTTTTCACTTGGACAATTTAATAGTAGTAAATGTATGCATACCATGACTTTGTCTTACCCAATTTATTAGCTCAAAAACTCAAAATCAAAACAAATCAGATAAGAACGTCATTTTTCATCAACACAATGTCCATAGGCCTAAAACTCTGATTCTCACTCAAAACTTCCAAAACACAATCACTCTTCATTATTGGCCCTTCCATTTCTTGGCGATTTGGACCTATCTCCGAACTCCTCTCCTAAAGCGTCCCGCTTCCTACTAATGCGCTCCTAAATGTTGTGCATTTTAAAAATATAGTTCATGCTTGCTAGACTTATATAGATTTTTTTTCATTTGTCCCCTCGGAAGATGAACTTCCTACGGATTCCACGCATAAAAGATTCAAGGGTCCAAGACCCTCCAATTCAGTTTGCCTAAAAATTTGTTTCCATTATATAATATACCATATACCATAATATAGTAATGATATACCGTCAGTTACATTTACAGTACACTCCTTCAGTACGTATGCAGATAACAATTTCTTGATGGGTATACCTGACCAATCTTTCTACTCCCATCCCAAACGAACGGCTAGTATAGTTGACTCAATATTCTATGAAAGTAAATAATTTCTCTTGCTTTCATGACATACAACAAACTATGCACCTTCTCCTCTTTCAATCCCAATCCACGGAAAGTCATGAATCCTTTTTTATGGATATTTCAGGTATTTGGGTTTGTTGATTCATACAATGCTGTTTTATTTTCTTACGCAAATACAAGCTAAAATTCATCCATTAGTTACTGATTTTATCTATTCAATTTTTCTTATGGATACCTCGAATTATCCAAATCTCTAATCACTTGTGCCCGCTCGCTTTTCACAGATACTGTTTTATACTTCTTATTATGCTCCAATAGTTTCTGTCTCCCTTTGTCCAAAACATGCCCAAAAGGAGGAACTCATTCCAGCCCAATCTCCTCTTTAATACACACGTTTACCGAAAAATACAAACCTTCCATTATACTTACAGGAAAATTGGATCTGCAACCCTCCCCACCCGCTCCTTTCACCCACGCCAAGGCGTTGACATCTGCTTCAATTTTATAGCTAAAATTTATGTTCCTCACGTTTGACACCACTTATTTTTTGTTTCATAACGAACTCTCACCATACTACTTCCTTAAGGAAGTCTATGGTTGATTCCTGAACAGGCTTCTTCTCCTTATTTGGCATAATAAAACTCTCAATTGTTTCGATGACACATGCTTATTTACAAGCTATTGCTGTTTCCTAGCCCTCTCTTCCTGATCGATATTAGATGCCTCAGAACCAAACCTCTAAAAAATTGTAAAAAATCCTCACCCTATTTAGACAAATCCATTCCATAATTCAGAAACAATCGAAACACATATACGTATTAGCTTACGTCTGATATCCGGTTCACTTCAATACGAAATAATAGCAATAAACAAAATATCCAGTCGTACAAACAGGGAATCAACTCTAAAAACCATACGACATAAGTTATTACACATATATATCAAAAGTTAGCAACACGTATATGCTTAAGAAAAAATTTGAGTTCTACCAAAAATAAAACAC